TAAAGTCATAAAATTATGAGAATAAAGTCGTACAATTAGGAGAATAAAGTTGCATAATTAGGAGAATAAAGTCGCATAATTAGGAGAATAAAGTCGTATAATTACGAGAATAAAGTCGTACAATTAAGTTTTCTCCTGCTGTTCCTCTGAAATAAAAAACAAAAACAAAAACATAAAACTGGTTTCCAACTACCAGGAGAGGCTTCGTTTTCCTCTGATCGATCGGTGTTTTATCACAATAAGTTTGCTTGCAAGTCTTGAAAAAAATAAAAGTAACAATAAATTTACATCACATTTTTGTTTTTTGCATTAAATAAGGCATTTTGTAGAAATTAGCTCATTCATCCAATATCTCACATTCATGCATCGATATTCAGGTTGGTAGCGTCTAAAGCTCCTGTCACACCTTGATGATTTATCCAGCGTATGCCTGCGTTTTTGCATAAGTTATGACTACGTTATGCTTAAGTTAAGAGCACACTGAAGTACGCTGAAACACGCTGGCACACGTCGACATTAGGCGAATACGTCGAGATACGTCCTGCCCTGTACCAGCGCTTGCCATATGTGGGCCATATTTCCAGGTCAGTTATCTGATTGTTGACATACGTTAAGTGTGAGTTACTAATAAGTCGTAGCGCCTAGCTTATCCTAAACCTGTGAGTAACTTATTTGGCTTAGAAGTGCAATATGCTGGCAGTTTCTCTCCATTTTGGAAAATGCAACCTCGGGATAATGCATCAGTATGAAAAATTGCTTAGGAAACCTGCAGATTTTAGGAATCATCTTCATTTCAATTTAGGATGTAGATACCAAAGACTCGTTAGCAGTAGCTTAAGACCAGTATCGGGCATTGCAGGCTAATAAAGAACCCAAACGACTCCCCATTCCTAAGGGGCTGACCCGTTCTTCTGGTACAATTTGCATGTTTTCTTAGCCAAAACAAGCTTTGAATTCAACTATTTCTGACATTTTGAATTGAGAAAGCTTCCTGGATGGAAGAGAACGTCTTCAGACATGGAAACCAAGTCCAGTGGATTTATTTTAAACTTTTTTGGAACACTGTTTTAGAGATTTAATGACCTTCCACAGACGTGAGAAACTCACTATAGATATTATTTGTAGTTTATAGTATTATTAAAGTGTTAGTTGTTGCCATGTGGCCAAGTTGTTCAGAACGATGAGTTGTTAAAATAGAGTTATAGTTTCTTTTTGATAATAGATTCAACTTTTAACCTCTATTCCTTAGAGAAAGTGTAAGAAGAATCAAGACACTCCTTTATTCTATAATAACCATAATAGCTGTCTTTATCATTTTGTTGCATTTTTTATGCCGAAGTTCTTTCCAGGTGGTTTGGAATCTATAGCAGGTGGTTCTATGCATCAATACATTAGGTGGTTTTTAATAAAATTACGAGAATAAAGTCGTACAATTACAAGAAAAAATTCATAAAATTACGAGAATAATATCGTACAATTACGAGAATAAAGTCGTACAATTACAAGAAAAAATTCATAAAATTACGAGAATAATATCGTACAATTACGAGAATAAAGTCGTACAATTACGAGAATAATGTCATAAAATTACAAGAATAATGTCGTAAAATTACGAGAATAAAGTCGTACAATTAGAAGAAAAAATTCATAAAATTACGAGAATAATATCGTACAATTACGAGAATAAAGTCGTAAAATTACGAGAATAAAGTCATAAAATTATGAGAATAAAGTCGTAAAATTACAAGAATAGTCCTATAATTACGAAAATAAAGTCTTATAATTACGAGAATAAAGTTGTATAATCACGAGAATAAAGTCTTATAATAACCAGAATAAAGTCGTACAATTACGAGAATAAAGTCGTAGAATTATGAGAATAAAGTCGTAGAATTACGAGAATAAAGTTGTATGATTACCAGAATAAAGTAGTACAATTACCAGAATAAAGCCGTACAATTAAGAGAATAAAGCCGTAAAATTGAGAATAAAGTCGTAGAATTACGAGAATAAAGTCGTATAATTACCAGAATAAAGTCGTACAATTACCAGAATAAAGCCGTACAATTAAGAGAATAAAGTCATATAATTATGAGAATAAAGTCGTACAATTAAGAAAATAAAGCCGTAAAATTATGAGAATATTCTTATGATTACCAGAATAAAGTCGTACAATTACGAGAATGAAGTCGTACAATTAAGAGAATAAAGTCGTAAAATTATGAGAATAGTCTTATAATTACGAGAATAAAGTCGTACAATTAAGAAAATAAAGCCGTAAAATTATGAGAATAGTCCTATAATTACGAGAATAAAGTCTTATAATTACAGGAATAAAGTCGTACAATTAGGAGAATAAAGTCGTAAAATTATTAGAATAAAGTCGTAGAATTATGTGAATAAAGTTGTATAATTACCAGAATAAAGTCGTACAATTAAGAGAATAAAGTCGTAAAATTATTAGAATAGTCTTATAATTACGAGAATAAAGTCGTATAATCATGAGAATAGTCTTATAATTACCAGAATAAAGTCATATAATTAGGAGAATAAAGTCGTACAATTAAGAGAATAAAGTCGTAAAATTATGAGAATAGTCTTATAATTACAAGAATAAAGTCGTATAATTAAGAGAATAAAGTCGTATAATTAGGAGAATAAAGTCGTACAATTAAGAGAATAAAGTCTAAAATTATTAGAATAGTCTTATAATTACGAGAATAAAGCCGTATAATCATGAGAATATTCTTATGATTACCAGAATAAAGTCGTACAATTACGAGAATGAAGTCGTACAATTAAGAGAATAAAGTCGTAAAATTATGAGAATAGTCTTATAATTACGAGAATAAAGTCGTATAATTAAGAGAATAAAGTCGTATAATTAGGAGAATAAAGTCGTATAATTAAGAGAATAAAGTCGTATAATTAGGAGAATAGTCTTATAATTACCAGAATAAAGTCGTAAAATTATGAGAATAGTCTTATAATTACAAGAATAAAGTCGTATAATTAAGAGAATAAAGTCGTATAATTAGGAGAATAAAGTCTTATAATTAAGAGAATAAAGTCGTATAATTAGGAGAATAAAGTCTTATAATTAAGAGAATAAAGTCTTATAATTACCAGAATAAAGTCGTACAATTACGAGAATGAAGTCATACAATTAAGAGAATAAAGTCGTAAAATTATGAGAATAGTCTTATAATTACGAGAATAAAGTCGTAAAATTATGAGAATAGTCTTATAATTACGAGAATAAAGTCGTATAATTAAGAGAATAAAGTCGTATAATTAGGAGAATAAAGTCGTACAATTAAGAGAATAAAGTCTAAAATTATTAGAATAGTCTTATAATTACAAGAATAAAGTCGTATAATTAAGAGAATAAAGTCGTATAATTAGGAGAATAAAGTCGTACAATTAAGAGAATAAAGTCTAAAATTATTAGAATAGTCTTATAATTACGAGAATAAAGCCGTATAATCATGAGAATATTCTTATGATTACCAGAATAAAGTCGTACAATTACGAGAATGAAGTCGTACAATTAAGAGAATAAAGTCGTAAAATTATGAGAATAGTCTTATAATTACGAGAATAAAGTCGTATAATTAAGAGAATAAAGTCGTATAATTAGGAGAATAAAGTCGTATAATTAAGAGAATAAAGTCGTATAATTAGGAGAATAGTCTTATAATTACCAGAATAAAGTCGTAAAATTATGAGAATAGTCTTATAATTACAAGAATAAAGTCGTATAATTAAGAGAATAAAGTCGTATAATTAGGAGAATAAAGTCTTATAATTAAGAGAATAAAGTCGTATAATTAGGAGAATAGTCTTATAATTACCAGAATAAAGTCGTACAATTACGAGAATGAAGTCATACAATTAAGAGAATAAAGTCGTAAAATTATGAGAATAGTCTTATAATTACGAGAATAAAGTCGTAAAATTATGAGAATAGTCTTATAATTACGAGAATAAAGTCGTATAATTAAGAGAATAAAGTCGTATAATTAGGAGAATAAAGTCGTACAATTAAGAGAATAAAGTCGTAAAATTATTAGAATAGTCTTATAATTACAAGAATAAAGCCGTATAATCATGAGAATATTCTTATAATTACCAGAATAAAGTCGTAAAATTATGAGAGTAGTCTTATAATTACGAGAATAAAGTCGTATAATTAAGAGAATAAAGTCGTATAATTAGGAGAATAAAGTCGTATAATTAAGAGAATAAAGTCGTATAATTAGGAGAATAGTCTTATAATTACCAGAATAAAGTCGTACAATTACGAGAATGAAGTCGTACAATTAAGAGAATAAAGTCGTATAATTATGAGAATAGTCTTATAATTAAGAGAATAAAGTCGTATAATTAGGAGAATAAAGCCGTACAATTATGAGAATAAAGTCGTAATATGACGAGAACCAAGCTGTATTTTATGACAACTCTTCCCAGAAGCCCTTTCTTCCCTAAAACGAGGAATGTGGAGCATCATGTGAAGTTCTACTTTAGCATCGGTTTGACAAATTAGGAAATCTTTTAGCAGCAGCATCAAACTGGGCAGGATGTCAAAGTGGACTCTGGTTGCTGATTGGTGGAGCTGGTCGGCCGTCATCTGCTGGGCGGAGCTCCAAGCTTTCTTTCTTAAATGTGTTGTTGTATGATGACTTTATTCTCGTAATATTACGACTTTATTCTCAAAAAAATAAAACAATCATAAAATGTCTAGCCTGGCCCTAATACTCTGTTGTATAAATGTGTTATTTAACATAATAAAATAAAAACATATATCAGTTTTTTGCTTTTTTTGCTCAGCTATATTAGCAGCTCCTAACTTTTCAGCGAAGTGATTCCTGCAGTAAGGAGCCGAGCGTATCGGTGTTCCAAAGCCTCCGTAACGGCTGGGCTCACCTGTGTTCATGTAATAAACTGCAGCTCGTGCTCTGGGCCTGATATTTTTGTCTTCTATTTGTCTTTGAAATCAGGTGAAGAGAAATTCCTGGGGTACGACTAAATACATGGAGCTGTACATCGTGGCAGACAGCACACTGGTAAGATGTTCCTCCCCCCTATCCTACACACCCCTCCAGGGGAATATTCCTCTGAACAATCGACTGTGACGTTTGCCTCTAAATATATCAGGAAACTATCGAGAAAGGCTGGAAACAAGATTGGAAGTTCTACACAATGATTGCACTCAAAGCTAATGGAGCACTTGACAGCTTTGAGCTGAAGTAATAACAGAGAAGGAAAGCGTTTGGTGTGATGCCAGGTGATTTCTTCTGATTAATGAGAATAGATTTAGTCTGGATTTAAAGGTTAAGGGCTTTTAAACCAAAAATATACCACTGTGATCAGATACAGGATATCATTCAGCCCTGCTAAGGTGTTCTGGAAAATCATGTTTTTTAAAATGGTGATAAAAGAGATATAAACTGGGAACAATACATGTTTTTACAGCGTTTCCAATGTAGTTTGATTATATTTCTATACAAAAAAGCTGAAGAACAATTGGATCCTGATAAAATAAGGTAATATTCATCAAGCATCCGTCCTGATGGTGATTGGATAGTTTCCTATTTAGGCAGACTTAAACAGATGTGTGCACCATCTGCTGGCAGTACCGTGGAATTGATGCGGCTACTTCATAGAGCTGTCCTGCAGTTCCTCACAGTAAAGTCTGATGCTATGATCACAATTTGAGCAGCAGAAGCAGCTAGTTTACATGCAAAGTTTATGGTTGACGGACATCGAGGCGCATCAAAAGATCCTGCAGCATCTAGAGCAGCAGGAGCAGCAGCTAATGAGCTTCTGAGGAGCTCATGACGCGCTTCACAGGCAGCAGCTGCTGGAGTTGGAAAAATGTATATTTAGCTGCTCGACGCGCCGCATCAACCAATCAGAGAAGCTGATCTGGGAGCTGGCAGGGAGTCAGACACAGCACTGCTGATGCAGAGCGCTATGATCACTCCTCTGAAACAGTTTATTAACCCCTAAATTAACTTAAAGTCGTAAAGAAGTCATATTTAAATGTTGAATTATTCTGGCTTAAGCATTTATATAAATGTACTCTTTATCAGGCCCCGTCCACACGAAGTCAAACCCTGGCCTAAACGCACAAATTTTTCACCAAACCAGCCTCTCATCCATACGAAGCCGGCGTTTCGGGGGTCTGTAAACGATCTTTTTTTTATTCAGCCTTCAGAGTGGGAAGATTTTGAAACGCCGTTTTCGCGTTTCCATCTTTAAGCTCTAACCGCATTTTTTTTCTTACACGCATGCATCATAGTATAATTATAATAATATTATATTATAATATTTTCTAATGCTACCAAGTTTATGGATGCATGGATAAGAGCTGCCTGCAGATAATGACAACAGACACCAGTGTTTAGGTTTACTGATTCTCCTCGTGCAAAAATTATGTCCAGGCTCAAAAAGAACTAAGTAAAAACTATCAGGATGCAAACTTGGATATATTTTTACACTTTATTAAATATCTGAAAACAGGATTTTTTCTGTTGTGTTTTAGAAATAAAAATGTGTTCCCAGTATTTTTTTTTACTTTTTAATATATCAGACTTACAGCCGTTAAATATTAAATGGACAGGTGGGATCAGAGGCGTTCGTCCAGATGGCGATTTTACAGGATCTTGTTTAGAACATGATTGTTTCCATAACTTTAATACTGTGTTTTCTCTCTGTTATGCAGTTCAGACGACAGGATAGGAACTATGAAAAAACCAAGGCGAGAATAATGGAGATCGCCAATTATGTGGATAAGGTAAGTTTGATGGGAAAACCTGCAGCTGATTAAACGAGGTAAATGATTGCGTACCACGGCCTTCTCATTCCTAATGCTATGCACGACTACCGTACCTCAGCTTTTGTCTTTTGTAGTCTGAGAAGAATGAGTAATTAAGAAGTGAAAACAAGTATTTACTCTTCCTTTGGGATCAAATCAATCGTGTCCCTCAACATTTTAGAGGAGATGAAGGAGAATGTCCTGCGTGACCAGATTCTCTGATAGAGGCTTTTAAAAAGGCTGGAGCAAACCGTGTGTGTGTGTGTGAGGGAAGGGAGGTTATGCTCATAACTATATCAGCAAACACTCACTAATATTTAATCATATTTTTGTGTCTGGTTTTAGTTTTATAGAGATCTAAACATCCGTGTGCCTCTAATTGGCCTGGAAGTTTGGACCGACAGAGATCAGTGCATCATCTCCGAAGAACCAAACGCCACCCTCTGGTCTTTCCTCCAATGGAGGCAGAAGCTGAAATCTCGCAAGAAGCACGACAACGCCCAGCTGCTCACGTAAGGAACCCTCTGCTTAAGGAGAAACAAACAAAAAAACCCCACAAAAATCACCATTTTCCAGATTGATCAAGAAGGTTCAGTGTCCAAGAGGTGCAAATGCACTGCAGGTATATAAAGACGCAGCAGTTTAGAGGAGTACTGCAAACACGAGAAAATTGGACTAGAAAAGATAGGTAAGACTTGCACAAACATAGACGGGCTATGCAGAGGGAAAAAAATGCTGCTAAAGAGAAATTCTGTTCAATTCAGTTTATTTCTATAGTGCCAATTCACAACATGTCATCTAGACGTACTTTCCAGTTCACCAGATCATCCAGTCAGATTGATTCAAAGTTTTCTATCTAAGGAAAACCAGCTGATTGCATCGACTCATTGACTCTTCAGCAATCCCTCACACTAGGCAAGCTTGTAGCGACAGTGGAGAGGAAAAACTCCCTTTGAACAGGAAGAAACCTCCAGCAGAACCAGGCTCAGTGTGAGCGGCCATCTGCTGAGGCCCACTGGGGTTCAAGGAGACAGAAGCAGAGATAGAAAAAGAAGCATAGATACAAAAGGCAACTGTCAACCAGCTCCACAGGCGGCCCCGTCCAAGAAACACACAGCCAGGCAGACGAGCTCCGAGCCAGCTCCCATGTCAGAGGATGAAGAGAGCACATCCAGTTAGTCACAGTCAGAGAAACAGGACTACACTGGAAAACAGGCCAAGCTCCAACATCTAGAAACAAAGGTGTTGATGGCAGCAGCACAGCTGATATTTCTCACAGCCAAACAGGAACAGACCAGATGAAGCTACTATGAGAAAAAAAAAAGCAGAGAGAGATTCTAGAATCAAGAAAAAAGTAAACATTAAAGTGCAACTAAATAAGCACCTCAAACGCGTAATGATGCTAACATAGAGTAGCAAAGACAAAAGTCATCGGCATGGCATGCCGTTTGTATTTTTACCGAGGGTCTGACCCATAAATAATAATGCGTACTGTCTCTGTATTTGGTGATCGTCTCCCCCTAGTGGTCTGGAGTACTTCTCTCATTCAGACCTGATTTGCAGCTTTTCTTAACTTGCAGGTTTTTTTTACCACTTGCAGCTTTTTGTCCGTCTCCATGTGTTTGTATGTTTCCATTATTCAGGTATTTGCAGCGTGTTTGCACTTTTCTTTCCTATTTCCGGTGATGCAGTACTTCTCTTTTGCAGCATTTTATGATACTGTAGTGCGTCTATCTAATAGTTTCAATCATTTGCTAATTATCAAATTGAAACAGATTGGATTTTCTTCACCTGCAGATCAACTGAACATTGTGTTTAATTTTTTTTTTTTTTTTTTTACTGGGAAATATGACTCATAGTGAGACGATTCCATTTAAGCTCCACCTTGAATCACCCTTTCAGACGATGAGCTCTATGAATAAAATTTACAGCAGTATTGACCCTTTTGTTGGAAGATTTCTTTCCAGCACTGCAGGATGCTAGAGAAGCCGTTCCCTCTTCCAGTCGGGGTTAAATATCCTGCTGCCGGCTCATATTCTCAGGCAACAGCCTGTATGGGTTGCATTTAGAGTTTTTTAGGTAACTATTTCTAAGCTCCCCAAGGCTAAAATATGTATATACATAAAAAAAAAAACAGATTTTGATGCGTCACCTAATGAGGCCCATTGATGAGAGGTATCGAACTGTATTAATTAGAGGGAAAAAGATTGATTTATACCTTACAAAACATTAAACAAGCAGATTTTTGTTTATTATTTTTGTTATTATATTTTTTACAGTGTCCTGTCTGGTGATGTGTCAATAAGAATAATTGTCTTGATGCCAAAAAGAGCCCAAAAGATTTTACTTTCACAAGTGGAGCAGTACGTCTATCGCCATAGTGTTCCGCTTGATTTATGCATATAAATAGCTTTATTATAATTATGCAGGGAGATTTACAGATTATATGGACTCTGCAATGCAAGTAGAACAGGAAAGAAAAACAGGAAAAAGGAGAAAAATTTCACACAGTTACTTTTACGAGTTCAAATTCACTTTTTGATCCCTGCTATAGAGTAAAAATGAGTGTAAATCTTCACCACGTATCGTCATGGTAACATCAGGGTTTAAAAATGAAACAACTTAACAAGGTTGGTGTTTTGCGCTTCCTTCAGCACATACTGTATGCTAACCCATAGAAACAGACAGTGGTTCTATCAGATTATGTTATCCTGAATATTTTTTTACACGTTTTATGTGGTTGGATTCTACGGAGTGAATTTTGATCCATTATTGTTGCGCACAAAGAACAGTTTTTGTTTTTAATGGAACTAAAAAAAACAACATATTCAATAGAAATAAAAATAAATGTAATAAACTTTTTATAAATGCAAATAAAAAATTATTTCTTGTTGCACAATAGAAAAGTATATTTGAAATTTAAATGCAATAAAAACATGCTTTGTAGATGTATATAAAAAAAAACGTTACTTAAATAGGAAATAAAAAATGGTTCTATTAAATGTAAAAATAAAAAATAAAAAATTTTATAAATGGAAATTTAACCAAAACCACATTTTTGCAAATGGAAATGTTTGAAATTTTGAGATACTTTGCTGCTTTCTGAGAGTTTTCCCTTCACTGTTTTTTTTTTTTTTTTTCAAATGTATATTTTTCATATTGAGTTTCATGAATTCCATTCTTTTAAGTATATATGTATGACCATATATATAGTATATATATATATTTATATATACAATATTAGGGGTGGGTATTGGCAAAGAAGTCATGATTCGATTCAAATCACGATTCACATGCCACGATGCGATTCTACCACGATGCATCATGATACTTGAAATATTGCGATGCGTTGCGATATTTTCACTGACCACTGTCAGAAAAAGATACAGCTCTTACAAGTGGCTGACTGGCTGGCTGTGATCTGGATCGTGTCTTCAATTGATACATAACTGAATTCATACATAGCTGTATTTATTGAAACGACTTTTGGAGGTGTTGCCATGGAAACAAATACTGGACAGGAATATTACTATTACTGGCGTGGACACGCTGACAAAAAGATCTTAGGATTCCTCAAACTTAAAATAACAAAATAAGGATAATCAGTGCCGTTTACATGGCCTCAGTGGTCCTTTAAACCGATGAAACAAAAATATTCAAATGTACATTTCCCCTTTTGCAAATGACGTGCATCATATCAATTTCATGTTTACCTTCTTTGTTTTTGAAGCCAAAATGCATCCAAGCATCTGACTTGAAATGTGACGGAGCCGCGGGGCGAATTTTCTCAGTGTCCTCCATATTTAGTTTACGAATGACTCGTCGCAGTATCCCACGGCCAGACATGCTTGTGACACAAAGCAGCGGGCGTCAACACATCCGCAGCGACATCTGCTGGACTGGAAGTCGTATTCCACTTGATTTGGCTGATGTGCGCCAACCATTCATGTATTTTATTTGTTCTTTTTTTTCTTTTTTTTATAATCGATTCTTGCCTTCAAGAATCGATGCAGTAGATCACAAAAATTAGAATCGCGATGCATCCTCACACTCTTATATACTACAGGTGCTGGTCATAAAATTAGAATATCATGAAAAAGTAGATTGATTTCAGTAATTCCATTTAAAAAGTGAAACTTGTATATTATATTCATACATTACATACAAACTCATATATTTCAGATGTTTATTTTGTTTAATTTTGATGATTACAAATGACAACAAATGAAAATCTCAAATTCATCATATCAGAAAATTAGAATATTACTGAAGACCAATAAAAACAAAGGATTTATAGAAATGTTGGCCAACTGAAAAGTATGAACATGAAAAGTATGAGCATGTACAGCACTCAGTATTTAGTTGGGCCTCCTTTGGCCTGTATTACTGCAGCAATGCGGCGTGGCATGGAGTCGATCAGTCTGTGGCACTGCTCAGGTGTTATGATAGCCCAGGTTGCTCTAATAGTGGCTTTTAGCTCTTCTGAATTGTTGGGTCTGGTGTATTGCATCTTCTTCTTCACAATACCCAATAGATTTTCTATGGGGTTAAGGTCAGGAGAGTTTGCTGGCCAATTAAGAACAGGGATACCATGGTCCTTCAACCAGGTACTGGTAGCTTTGGCACTGTGTGCAGGTGCCAAGTCCTGTTGGAAAATGAAATCTGCATCTCCAAAAAGTTGGTCAGCTGCAGGAAGCATGAAGTGCTCTAAAACTTCCTGGTATGTGGCTGCGTTGACCCTGGACCTCAGAAAACACAATGGACCAACACCAGCAGATGACATGGCACCCCAAACCATCACTGACTGTGGAAACTTTACACTGGACTTCAAGCAACGTGGATGAAGTGCCTCTCTTCTTTTCCTCCAGACTCTGGGACCTTGATTTCCAAAGGAAATGCAAAATTTACTTTCATCAGAGAACATGACTTTGGACCACTCACCAGCAGTCCAGTCCTGTTTCTCTTTAGCCCAGGCAAGACGCTTCTGACGCTGTCTGTGGTTCAAGAGTGGCTTGACACAAGGAATGCGACAGCAGAAACCCATGTCTTTCATACGTCTGTGTGTGGTGGTTCTTGAAGCACTCACTCCAGCTGCAGTCCACTCTTTGTGAATCTCCCCCACATTTTTGAAGGGGTTTTGTTTCACAATCCTCTCCAGGGTGCGGTTATCTCTCTTGCTTGTACACTTTTTTCGACCACATCTTTTCCTTCCCTTCGCCTCTCTATTAATGTGCTTGGACACTGAGCTCTGTGAACAGCCAGCCTCTTTAGCGATGACCTTTTGTGTCTTGCCCTCCTTGTGCAAGGTGTCGATGGTCGTCTTTTGGACAACTGTCAAGTCAGCAGTCTTCCCCATGATTGTGTAGCCTATAGAACTAGACTGAAAGACCATTTAAAGGCTTTTGCAGGTGGTTTGAGTTAATTAGCTGATTAGAGTGTGGCACCAGGGGCCATCAATTTTGAACCTTTTCACAATATTCTAATTTTCTGATATGATGAATTTGAGATTTTCATTTGTTGTCATTTGTAATCATCAAAATTAAACAAAATAAACATCTGAAATATATGAGTTTGTATGTAATGTATGAATATAATATACAAGTTTCACTTTTTAAATGGAATTACTGAAATCAATCTACTTTTTCATGATATTCTAATTTTATGACCAGCACCTGTATTTATTCATTGTAATTTTGGGGGCAATTAATTGAATGCTTATTTATTTATTTATTGAGCATTTATTTATTTATGTATTTATTTTATATACGGTAGAGCTGTTCCTCCATAAATAAAATATCTTATCTGTGCAAAGCCTAAAAACAGATTTATGTACACATCCTGTCACGTAAACCAAGCCATGAAAATACAATATCTCTAATTAGAGTATCTTAGTGGCACATATGGGAGAATTATCCTGCCATAATGCAAAAGCACATCATTTCAATTTGAGAAAAGAATTTCATCTTCTTGCTCTCAAAACTTATAATGCTCACACTCAAAACATGCGCTCTCTCTCAAATATTTTCTCTTCTCTCTCAAATCTTTGTTTCTTCTCTCAGATTTAATGCTTCTTGCACAGATATTTTCTCCTCTCGCTTGCCTCCTTCTCTTCGCGCACAAACCGCGCTCTGCTCGAGTCTCAGTTACGCTCGCTAACCCGTAGGCTCTGCTTGCAGATTTTTTTTGCTCTCTCTCAGACTGCAGTTGGATCGTCGCCTAGCAACCTTTCCAGCCAATAGAACGACAGCCTCGGAAAGGGTGCGCTTGTTTAACTCTACTGAGTGTGCCTGTGCTACTACGCCACTTATAAGAGCGTCAGCTGAAACTGCTATTTACAGTAGTTTTGTGGCTGATTGTTGTTTCAAAATAGAAAACCTGGTTTCATGTCTCAGTTTTGTCCTGGATTTTGTAGCGTTTGTGGACGCTACGTCGCTACTTGATCAAAACAATAACGTCACTACTGGAAAGTTACTTGATAAATGAAGCAGCGACGCTACGGTGAAGCTACTGGAAAATGTAGTTCAACTAATAGCTTCGCTACATGTAGCGGCGCTACTGCCCATCACTGAACTTCACAATGACACTATAACAACGTAGATTAGCTGGCATGAAGCTGAGTCACTGTGTTTATGTCACACATGACCCTATTAGCTCCAAAATCCAGGAAAATCATTATATTATTATACTATTTAAAATTGTAGGGAAATCTACGAAATTTATTAACTTTAATAATAGTTTATTAAGACATTATTAGTTTAATAACAAGAAGTAATTGCGGTACATTAATTAGCCGTTGTTCAGGCATCGACCTTCAGTCCAATTTATGTGGAAACATGAGGAGGATGCAGGAGATTAACAGGAATTGGTTTTCTTCTGTGTTCCTGACAGTGGCGTGATTTTCAAAGGAACAACAATCGGGATGGCGCCGCTGGAGGGAATGTGCAGCCTGGAAAACTCTGGAGGAATCACTGTGGTAAGTTATAAGCATTTTCTGCTCTCCTGTGTTTTTTTTTCTTTTTTCCAGGTATTTAAGCTGGAGTTGGTCTTTTCAGAACCTGAGAGATATTTTTATCAAATGTTGCTTAAGATCAAATTAACGGATTACGGTCGAAATGAAAGTTTCGGCAGCCGAATGGCAGCCATCTTCCAGCTGCTGGCCTTCTCCTGGGCGTGTGATTTTTTTACTCTGACTCCTCCCTTTCACTGAATTACAGGGTCTGACCAGGAGATGGCGCTTCTCTTTAGATCTTAATGTCCACAAATCAAGACAGAAAGAATATTTTAGTACAAAGATTGATGTTAAAAAAGGAATTGAAGGCGACCAGCCAAGGAAATTTTGAATGCCTGCTACTGTAAGTGGAAAATCCAGCTGTTCTTCTCTATAAAGGGGGTTAAATTGTTGGAGCAGCTAAAACAGCCACCCAGGGCTCCGCTCTTCTTCCTCTGGTTCTGGAAGAACTTTGGCCCTGCTTGTCTGTTGTATCTGCTTCTGCACACAGAGAGAAGTACATTTTTGAAGTTTTTACACAGACCGACAGGACTCATGTTTTCCCAATTTTTTATTATACACAATTTTTTCTATTATATACACATTTGTATTTTTTCCTTTTGTCCTGATTCAGTTTTTATTTCCATGTTCTGATCACCGTTATGCCTTTGCTGGTTTTTACTTCCTGTGTGGTTGAATTTAATAGTTTCCTATCTAAGCCTGCCAGTTAATCCCTCTTTACAGTTCGCTGTCAGCAGACTGGGGTCCATCTCAATTAGCTGGTTTAACAAAAACAAATCCTCAACTCTGAGTTTTCGGTTTCATAAAAGCGGCTGTAATTTCATTTAATCAACTCTAAGTAGGTCCACTAACAGCTCAACACGTGGCTGACAAGAATGAAAAGCCGTTATCAGTGGAGCCCCGATTAGAACCATGACGACAGGCAACAGGAAGGGCCGATTTCACCCCATTGGATTGGTTGTAAGGAGAGTGGAGACAGAGGATACTGGCTGGTTCTCAGTTCAGTAGAACGCGAGTACGGACTCGTGTTCTCGCCAAGTCTGTTCTTGAGAAGAACACAGGAAAGTCTGGACTCGGGGAGAACCGGAGCAGGCAGCATTAATCTGGGTTAATTGGAACAGAAGCGTACTGATGACATCACCACACGCTCAGCTCATCTGGAGCTGCAATTCACCTCTTGTTATTAATAGGTCTGGGATAAGCGGACCGCAGTCCAGATCTGGACCCACCTGCTGGGTAATTTGGACTCAACCTGATTTAAAACATTTTTTTCTGCATGTTGTCTGACGACAGTGTCTAACTTCACTTGCTCCACTTCTCCTGTTAATACGGTAAAGCCCTCCGGAGCGTCCGGCTCCAGGCTGCATTCAAACCTAGGTTTAAAGCCTTGCAGGGCAGCCTAAAGCCCACTGCCAACATTAAGCTAGGCTGATAAACCAGACTAAATGTGAGATTAAATGTGTAATCTAGTCTGGATCCGATGAATGAGACATCGGAAGATTGTTGATGAGAACAACCTGTTGTTTTTCAAACCATGTTATTGGCCAACGCTCTGACCAATGAGCGCAACTAACTGTGACGTAGGAAGCGTGACAGAAAACTGGTCGGGGAGTTTAAACAAACAGCCGGGGTAACGTTAGCCCTGGCTGCTGCAGACGGGCTAACGTTAGCCCTGGCTGCTGCAGACGAGCTAACGTTAGCCCTGGCTGCTGCAGACGAGCTAACGTTAGCCCTGGCTGCTGCAGACGAGCTAAAGTTAGCCCTGGCTGCTGCAGACGGGCTAACGTTAGCCCTGGCTGCTGCAGACGAGCTAACGTTAGCCCTGGCTGCTGCAGACGAGCTAAAGTTAGCCCTGGCTGCTGCAGACGGGCTAAAGTTAGCCCTGGCCGCTGCAGATGGGCTAAAGCTAGCCCTGGCTGCTGCAGACGGGGTAACGTTAGCCCTGGCCGCTGCAGACGGGCTAACGTTAGCCCTGGCAGCTGCAGACAGGCTAACGTTAGTCTTAGCCGCTGCAGACGAGCTAACGTTAGCCCTGGCTGCTGCAGACGGGCTAACGTTAGCCCTGGCCGCTGCAGACGAGCTAACGTTAGCCCTGGCCGCTGCAGACGGGCTAAAGTTAGCCCTGGCCGCTGCAGACGAGCTAACGTTAGCCCTGGCCGCTGCAGACGGGCTAAAGTTAGCCCTGGCTGCTGCAGACGGGCTAAAGTTAGCCCTGGCTGCTGCAGACGAGCTAACGTTAGCCCTGGCCGCTGCAGACGGGCTAAGGTTAGCCCTGGCCGCTGCAGATGGGCTAAAGTTAGCCCTGGCTGCTGCAGACGGGCTAACGTTAGCCCTGGCTGCTGCAGACGAGCTAACGTTAGCCCTGGCTGCTGCAGACGGGCTAAAGTTAGCCCTGGCTGCTGCAGACGAGCTAACGTTAGCCCTGGCCGCTGCAGACGGGCTAAGGTTAGCCCTGGCCGCTGCAGATGGGCTAAAGTTAGCCCTGGCTGCTGCAGACGAGCTAACGTTAGCCCTGGCTGCTGCAGACGGGCTAAGGTTAGCCCTGGCCGCTGCAGACGGGCTAACGTTAGCCCTGGCCGCTGCAGACGGGCTAAGGTTAGCCCTGGCCGCTGCAGATGGGCTAAAGTTAGCCCTGGCCGCTGCAGACAGGCTAAAGTTAGCCCTGGCTGCTGCAGACGAGCTAACGTTAGCCCTGGCTGCTGCAGACGGGCTAAAGTTAGCCCTGGCCGCTGCAGACGGGCTAACGTTAGCCCTGGCAGCTGCAGACGAGCTAAGGTTAGCCCTGGCCGCTGCAGAGGGGCTATGGTTAGCCCAGGCTGCTGCAGATGGGCTAAGGTTAGCCCTGGCTGCTGCAGACAAACTAATGTTAGCCCTGGCTGCTGCAGACGGGCTAAGGTTAGCCCTGGCCGCTGCAGATGGGCTAAAGCTAGCCCTGGCTGCTGCAGATGGGCTAAAGCTAGCCCTGGCTGCTGCAGACGGGCTAAAGTTAGCCCTGGCCGCTGCAGATGGGCTAAAGCTAGCCCTGGCTGCTGCAGATGGGCTAAAGTTAGCCCTGGCTGCTGCAGATGGGCTAAAGCTAGCCCTGGCTGCTGCAGACGGGCTAAAGTTAGCCCTGGCCGCTGCAGATGGGCTAAAACTAGCCCTGGCTGCTGCAGATGGGCTAAAGCTAGCCCTGGCTGCTGCAGACGGGCTAAAGTTAGCCCTGGCTGTTGCAGATGGGCTAAAGCTAGCCCTGGCTGCTGCAGATGGGCTAAAGCTAGCCCTGGCTGCTGCAGACGGGCTAAAGTTAGCCCTGGCTGCTGCAAACGGGCTAACGTTAGCCCTGGCTGCTGCAGATGGGCTAAAGTTAGCCCTGGCCGCTGCAGATGGGCTAAAGCTAGCCCTGGCTGCTGCAGACGGGCTAAAGTTAGCCCTGGCCGCTGCAGATGGGCTAAAGCTAGCCCTGGCCGCTGCAGATGGGCTAAAGCTAGCCCTGGCTGCTGCAGACGGGCTAAAGTTAGCCCTGGCCGCTGCAGATGGGCTAAAGCTAGCCCTAGCTGCTGCAGACGGGCTAAAGCTAGCCCTGGCTGCTGCAGACGGGCTAAAGCTAGCCCTGGCTGCTGCAGATGGGCTAAAGCTAGCCCTGGCTGCTGCAGACGGGCTAAAGTTAGCCCTGGCTGCTGCAGACGAGCTAACGTTAGCCCTGGCTGCTGCAGACGGGCTAAAGTTAGCCCTGGCTGTTGCAGATGGGCTAAAGCTAGCCCTGGCTGCTGCAGATGGGCTAAAGCTAGCCCTGGCTGCTGCAGACGGGCTAAAGTTAGCCCTGGCTGCTGCAAACGGGCTAACGTTAGCCCTGGCTGCTGCAGATGGGCTAAAGCTAGCCCTGGCTGCTGCAGACGGGCTAAAGCTAGCCCTGGCTGCTGCAGATGGGCTAAAGCTAGCCCTGGCTGCTGCAGACGGGCTAAAGTTAGCCCTGGCTGCTGCAGACGAGCTAACGTTAGCGCTGGCTGCTGCAGACGGGCTAAAGTTAGCCCTGGCTGTTGCAGATGGGCTAAAGCTAGCCCTGGCTGCTGCAGATGGGCTAAAGCTAGCCCTGGCTGCTGCAGACGGGCTAAAGTTAGCCCTGGCTGCTGCAAACGGGCTAACGTTAGCCCTGGCTGCTGCAGATGGGCTAAAGCTAGCCCTGGCCGCTGCAGACGGGCTAAAGTTAGCCCTGGCCGCTGCAGATGGGCTCAAGCTAGCCCTGGCCGCTGCAGATGGGCTAAAGCTAGCCCTGGCTGCTGCAGACGGGCTAAAGCTAGCCCTGGCTGCTGCAGACGGGCTAAAGCTAGCCCTGGCTGCTGCAGACGGGCTAAAGTTAGCCCTGGCTGCTGCAGACGAGCTAACGTTAGCCCTGGCTGCTGCAGACGGAGAGCTCTCCTCGCAAAGCATTCTGGGATTTGCTTTCACAGCGGCCCGCTACTCGACAGAGATGACTAATAATAAGGATGGCGCAGGCGACAAGCAGAGGAGGAGGAGTTACGTGACCAATGGAGCAAAAAGCAGTGATCCTCTGTCCAAACGGTCAGTTAAAAGAGTTCACTATAAAGTTCACTATATAGTCACCGTGTGTTCGGACAAAGTGAGGTTGTATGAGCTATATATAAACTGAAATCTCGATTGCAATTTAAATTGTAGTTCACAATAAAGTTGATTGATTGAAAAGAAAAGAAAACTTAAAACAACAGAAACATAAAATATCCTTCTGATAAAAATAAAAATCCTTTGGGGAGGAAACTAGAAACAATTGAAAGGGTCTGAGATCTTTAGATTAAAACCACATAGAAGTGCTGTCTGTGGTTAGATTGGATAACGGTCTGTTTGGCCATCAGCAGGCAGGTTGTGGCGTTTATTTTGGTAGAAACTGTTCATCAGCGGTGGATCGACGCCTCTGGCCTTTTCTGGACTCCTGAGGCGTAAACAGAGTTCATATAATAACCCAACAA